CCCCCCCCCCCCCCCGACCATGTATTCACCTACACACCATCCAACTCCACACTACCATCGCCCCAGGCGACAGCCACCCATGGAATCCATCGCCAGGTCACCACACATGTGAGGTTTGCCCAGAGGGCAGAGGCGATGGGCAGGGCTGACTCACCACCACACATGAGCGCACCACACAACGTCACCACACAAATGAACTGACCTCTTGAGGACTCCATCGAGAAAGGAGACGGCCAGCAGGAGAGAAACCCAAAATTCCATCTGCACACAGGAATGACAGCAGATGAGATCACCACAGCGATGAAACAGACCACGCAGTCATCCCTTAACATTCTCCATACCCCATACCATCACCGCAGCCAACACATGACACGACGCATATACTCACCTGAGGATGCTCAAAGTTTGAAGACAAACGAAGGTGTGCGCCGCCTACTCAGCTGACGCCAGACAGGTTTCAGGCAGTCGCCACCCGCTCAGCAGCCGGCAGGGCGCCACCGGCGGAGGCCTCGCTCGCGGCACGGCGGTAGGGGAAGGAAGAATAAGACTTCATCCGGACGAGTTGGGAGGGGCAGAAAGGGATGAGGCGGACCACACCAGCCACAAAGCAGATGAAAAGAAGAAGAAACGGAGGATCTGTGGCCGAAAGAAGGCTGAGAACCCGAGCGGACGGGAATTGTGAGAAAGGGACGAAATCTCTGTCTCCGAATCTCGAATTTCTCGTCCCGTCTCCAATTCTCGCCAGGAAAATCATTGCTTGCATCGTCTGATTCGGGAAGGAGATCGGCGGCTTCGAGACGCCCACTGAGCATCGTGAAGCTCGCGTTTCGGCAGGGCGCCACGAGCCCTCGCTCGCCCTCCCTCGTGGCGCGGCGGTAGAGGAGGGAATGGTCAGATTTCATCCGGACGAGTTGGGAGGGGCGGAAGGGGATGAGGCGGACCACACGAGCCAGAAAGCGGATGAAAACAAAAAGAACCGGGGCATCTGTGGCCGAAAGAAGGCTGAGAAGCCGAGCGGAGCCGGAAATGTGAGAAACGGGACGAAATTTCTGTCTCGAATCCAAAAAATGGCTCGAATTGAATTTCTCGTCCCGTCTCCAATTCTCGCCAAGGGAGATCATTGCTTGCGTCATCTGTTCGTGGAGCGGAACAGAGGCTTGAGACGCCCGGTGGGCGAAGTGGGCCAAACTGAGCTCGCATCATGTCCGGAAAACTCAGCCCTGTTACGTGAAGCAGAGTGCATGCAGTTGTTTGTTGTGTTGGGTGATCGTGCCGAGCTGCACGCAGAGGACGATGCCACGGTGAGAACTGGGCTATGGTGAGGCTCGCGTCTCGAAATTTAAACGGCACCAACTGAAGAACAGCTCTGCTACTCACGCTACTGACGCTAACGCCCATCAACATCCATGGATCAGCCGCATCACATCATCCGTGTCACTCTTGCTCAGATTTGCTTGCTGGTAGCACCACGCAACCTTCCCATGCAGGCGGATCAGCTCATCCGAGCTCCCGGCCTGCGTCTTCTCTTGCATCAACCGCACCACCCGCCTCTTGACCAGCTCATGTAGAGGACTCCCAAAGTCGCTTCTTCGCAAGAGACCGCCATCAGTCGACTTGATCGGTGCAGAGGCGATGTGCGTCCTCTTGTCTTCGCTTCTTTCCACATAGAGCCCAAGTGCATCATCGAATTGTCCCCTTGTCCACGAGTCGAGCAGCATGACGATCTCCTTGAGCTCGATCTGCCCCAGCCTCCTCCCAGCCGCCCTAAGAAGAGCCGCCAGCAGCCGCCCCAACATATCGCCGCCTGACGCTGCGAGAAGGCCCTCCTGATGCAAATCAGCCACAGCACGCGCCAGCGACACGAGCATGGAGGGCTCCAACTTGTTGGCCTCCATGAGGTGGGTAGCGTGCGGCAGGAGGCTTCCATAGACGGTAGCAACAGAGCCGTGATAGTGAAGCCTCGCGCACGCCATCAGGATCATCAGCAGTGACTGAGGATGGATGGCATCCGTCGGTCTCCTCCCTCTTTCCACCGGCTGTAGGCCTCTCACACGGTCGACCACCTCTTCCAGCACGACGTCGCAGAACGATACAAACCTGACGTCTTCTTGCGGCTGCTGCTGCTGTGCTTGGGAGCAGAGCTTGGCCACGGCGTCCATGACGAGGCTGAGCGAATGGAGATTCATTTCCTCAATGAAGCCGCTGGACGCCAGCCGATCGAGAAGGGTCTGCAGAGCTGACGAAGGGGATGTGACAGACCTGTTGAAGCTCGGCACAGGTGGCGAGTTGCCGTCTTGCGTCGAAGGGAGGTCGGCAGGGGTCTTGTGGTCTTCGGTCTGGTCTTGGTTGTCGCCGCCATCAGCCCTTGCCACAGGTAGATGCCGTGTTGACGCAACAGCCAATGCGTTGAGCAGCAGTGCCGCATTGGCAGCCGTCAGGTCTTTGAGCACATCAGGATGCCCCAGCCGCCGCATAAACAAGGCAAAGAGTCCTGCATAGACAGCCCGTGATGCCTCATTGTTAGCGGCTCTCGTCTGCCGATACGCCTTTGTGAAGGTGTGTATGGCCAAGGTGGCCTCTTTGCCGCCGAGATCATCCACCAGTGTGGCATGTTTACCGCCAGCGGCCTTCCCGGCTCTCCTCCCACCACTTCGGGCAAAGGCTGGCGGCTGGGGCGGCTGACGGGGGTCTTTTGCAGGAGTGGGCAAGGGCCTTTGCAGCACGGATGCGAGCAGAACAAACGATGGTGGGTCGAGGCAGTTGAGCCGATAGAGCCCTCGGGCGATGCTGGCGGCGCCTTTGCCAGTCCACTCGGGTGGCGCGTCAGGTGTAGCCTCGCTGTCAGGGAGAGCGCTCTCATCATAGACGCCCCTTAGCTGCACCAAGGCACGGTCGATAAAGCCCTTCAGATTCCCCTGCTGCATCGGTGTCGCCTTCGTTGTCTTCAGGTCGCCTTTGGTCGGATAGAGATGACCCGACTCAGCCAGGCTGTTGAGAATGAAGGCCAGGTGGTATTCCCTCAGCGCAGGGAGGATGACGTCCGCTCGAGCAATGTACTTTTGCCACGTCGACTGGTCGAACGGCCCCCTCTGTGCCGTGATGGTCATCATTCGCGCCAGCCGTGAGCGGCCCATCCAGGGAATCGACGCAAGCGCCTCGTCTGGCACAGGCGGGTCGCTCCGTCGTGCCATATGGATCACTCGGCGTGGAGATTCGGTCGTGGTGGTGCCCATCCCGATGTCGGCTGACGATGCGGCGGCTGACTCACTCATCATCTCGTCGTCGGACGAGGATTCTGCCACTTCTGCACGGCTTGGGGCGGTGCGCGTCGCGTTGGTTGCAGCCATCGCCTTGTGGACGAAGACAGCGAGCTGCTTGCATTGCTTAAGTTGCCGCCCTCCGAGAGCCTGCAGATCTCTCGCGAGCAGAGATAGAGGGGCCCTCCTCAGCATCAGCGCTTCCTCAGGGCAGATGAATCAGTATACACCATCACATAGTGGGCCACCAACGCCTCTCCCTCGCATGGTGCCATTTCGTGCTGCCTTTCAGAACGCGAGCTCAGAGGCGAAGAGGGAAGGGAGCGAAAAGAAGAAAAGCAGTCTGCTCGGATCAGGGGGTTGGTGTTGAGGCTGGACAGATCAAACGATTCATGTTTGCAATGAAAAGTGGACTGTGGCTTGAGCCTGCGCGCATTCACTCATCACAGCCGTGTGTATACTTGCTGTACCATCCATGGTGTACCAGTGCAACGCCCCTCCCGCTATTAACAACATGCGACACGCATGCAGAGAGAACACTGAGCCCTTCCTCTTCCTCCATCTGTGCACACCGACCGCCAACATCCGAAACGCTCCCTGTGGCGATAGTAGCACATAGAAGAAGGCTGCCATCAGGTCAACCGCCCTTCTCTGTACGCCGCCGCCACCACAGGGAGCATCTCAAGACGCACGGCCCGTTGTCTGTCTGTCGTCTCGAGATCCACTCACGTCGGTCAGTCAGCTGTACCCTTAGCTACACGTCCATCAAGAGACCTCCCCACTCATCATCAGTGTGAGACAAGAGCCAGTCCAGCTCCCACCCCACCATCTCCCGTGTGAGCTCGACGGACAGTGGGTAGGGCACCGGGCCAGCCTGTCGCTCCTCCGTCGTGGTCAGCTGAATCGACACTGCAGTCCTGGTCTTCCGGGTGATGCGCACCTGCAGCGCAAACGCGTCGCCTGGACGGACACCACTCAGAGTGATGATGCCTGGAATACACACACACAAACAGACACACAGACAGACAATAAGCACGTCATGTGTGAGTGCGTGCTGCCGTGTCCTTGTTTGGATCACTTACGTGAGCCTCCGGACTGGCCGACGGCCGCTGTGGTGTATATGGTGGTGCCCCATATCGGCGTGTAGTCTCGCAGATTGTCGGAGTAGTCCGGGAGCTTATGGATGGAGTCCTGCTTGCTCAGGATGCCGGTGAGCCAGTCAAATCGGGGGTCAGTCTTCGGAATTCTCGACATCTGCGCCACGATGCCCGGTGGTGACTCCTGAATTCTGTGTGCGTCACGCAAAGGCAGAGACGGAGAGAGAGAGAGAGAGAGAGAGAGAAATGATCGGCAGGTGGTCTCTTCTTCTCGCTTGCCGGCGTAGCAACGTCTGCATGAGAGCGTATGTGACGCCTGCGGCAACCAGACCAGATCAACAAATGTACCCACACACGATATGTGAGTCCTGCTGTCTGTCCTCCAATGTGCTGTCCCGTGCCTGCCGTGCTGACTGACCTGAGAATGGGGATGTGTCGACCAGCCCCCTGCCGCCCACTGTGTACCTGTGGCCGCCCACACCGCGACCCGCCCGCACCACCAGGCTGCCCGCGTCCTGCTTCCGCAGTCGGTGCGTGAAGAGGAAGCACTGCCGCACTCCCCTGGGAAAGGTGGCGTAGTCAGGCTGCATCATGGTCGCCTCACGCACGTCGGCCGCCCTGATCGCCAGTGGCAGGGATTTCACCCAACCATGGTGCTTGGCCAAGTGCATGTGGGGCACCCACTCGCCCTCGCCCCACCCCTCAATCACCGTAAGCCCCACCGGCCCCTCCAGCACCGCCCCCTCCATCACATGCAGCGCGCAGAGGATGCTGTGCATGTTGTGGAGGTCGAAGCGGAAGGCCGAGTCGAGCTTCTTCTTCTCCGTGTAGGCCTTGAGTCGATTGGAGCCGTATGCTGTGTTGATGGTGACTGCGGTGGGGGTCTTGGCTGCTGCGCGGAGGGCGGCGAGGTGGCGGGGCTGCAGGAAGTCGCACATCGTGTGGAGGGGGCAGATGTCCATGCCGTAGATGGACGGCACTGAATCTGACACACAGACACAGACACAGCAGCGTAGTCTGTGTCTGGGTATCTATTCTATCATCAAGTGCTCGCCCACCAGCGTAGAAGTGGTTTGCGATTTGGTACTCGTCTACTTGTGTGCTCGCGTCGCGCGAGTCGACACCACACAACTCCAGCTCGTAACCACTGTGGACGGCCGCGCCACCCTGCACACACACCAAAGCATTACCACAGCATTTGTTGAGCCAACATCGTGCCAGCTCACCTCTGCCACGGCGTCCGACTTGTGGTGTTGGATATCGTCCATGTACTCATCGACGGCGCTGGTCAGTGTGGCGAGGGACCGCTTGGTGGACTCTGACGGCCGCACCTCAGGCTGCAGAGAGGAATCGAAATGGTGCAGGGAGGGCTTGGGTGTCAATATATCACTCAGCACGCTTACGTAGGCACGGAGTAGCGTCTGGGTGTCCCGCAGCCTCGCTATGACCTTATTGATGCCCTTGGTGTGGTTGCCCACCTGCACACGCATAGCATACACGATCCACACACACGGATACCAAGAGCCTCCGGAGGCTGACCTACCTGTCCAGTTTCGTCGCGCCCCACCCATTTGAAGACCTCCCTGCCCCTGCTCTCGAGCAGCTGTGTACGACCCATCAGGGGCATCGGGCTGGCGGGGCCGAGGAGGTTGCGGGGAGGCGGGGGGACGATGTGCTGCGGGAGGGGGCGGTATTCATCAACAAAGTGGCTAGTGTGGCCAAAGCGGGTGCTCATCAACTGCAGCGGATGATACTCGGCCCATCCTCGGCTACTTCCCGCTCGCTGCTTGCGACCACCAGTCGCCATGAGGATGGAAAAATGACGCAACCTGAATGACATACACACACACACACACACACAGAGCACCTCAAAGGCATGCATGAGATCTGCTCTGGTCCGAGGGAAGGTGTGGGTGTCCGCACCAGCTGCTCAGATGAAATGTGAAGAAACCGTCGCCATCTGCCAGGGAGAAAGCCGCGTACAGGCCTTCATCTATTCGCCTATTCGCGGCTCTCGCAAGATGGGTGGATTTAGGGTTTAGATGGGCGGATCGGTGGTCGACGATTTGCAGGGGGGGGGGAAGGCGCCATATCTGCGTTTGTTTGATGGTTGACTATGTCACGGGGACGCTGCCAAGACGATTTGCAATGCAGCTGATGAGTTCAACCATCCAAGCAGCTCGTTGCTCCGAATGCAGAGCGACACGCACATACATGGGACATGTGCCAGTCAGTCCGCTGCCCCGTCCGTCCCCTCCCTGTACAAGCACCATGTATTGATGGATGAACCAGACCGACACGAAAACCCCCCACCTGATATCAACACATACATGACAGGCTCCTCACTCCCTCCCTCCCTCCCTCTTGCCCGCTCCTGACTGACTGCAACCAATAGATATCGCTCTACAGCTGGTCGAACAAGGGCGTGAAATCCTTGCCCATCTTGTCCTTGGCTATCCCCAGGCTGAGGGCAAACTGGTCGCCAACATACTCCCAGCGCTCGGTCGACCGGAGCAGGACGGTGAGCTCGTCCTTCTGAGTGGCGCTCTTGGTGATGGACACGTGCATGGCGAAGGCGTCATCGCGCTCGGCACCACACAGCGTCACCAGCACTGACACACATAACAACCAACACACACATACGTGGTCTGGTCTGTGTGTGTGTCGTCGGTCATTTCCCTCTTTCCTACCTACCGCCCAGAGAGTGTTGGACGACGGTTGTGCTGCCCCATATGGGCAGGCGCTTGCGGGCTATCTGGTCCAGTATCTGGATGCAGCGCTCGTACCGAACGTCACTGCGGTGGAAGGTGCTGCACATGACCACCCTGCACCTGGCCGTCTGGATGCTGGTGGTGACACACAGACAGACAGACACACATGAATGACACCACACACACACGCATAGAGTGAGTGCCTTGTTTGTGTTTACACACCGACCGGTCTAGGATGCGATCTGAGAACCTGGGAAAGGTCACGATCGGAAGCTCCTTGATGCCCGGATCCAGTGGGGCTGCGCACACGTATACACACAAAAGCCATACGGACGCAATGAATGCATCTCAGGCCTGACCTTTTCGTTCCCTCCCGCTCCCCTCACCCAGGCACGGGGGATCGTCGCTGTCGAAATCATCGCGATCGAAGGGGTAGTCCTGGGGCAGCGTCGACGGGCGATAGTACATCCCGACGTAGCCCATCCTGTGGCCGCCCAGCTGGTATGTGTCGTCCGTCGTGCCAGGGGTCAGCGGGGGATCATCATCGTGCGTGATGGACCGCCCCATCAGCATGTACTGCCGCATGGCCTCGGGGAGCTCCTGGTGGTCGGCGAGCTGCAGACGGCGGACGTCGAGCTCGAGGTTGTCGAAGTCACTGCCCCTCACGGTGATGGGTAGCGACTCCACCCACCCATGGTGCCTCGCCAGCCGTAGATGGGGCGCCCACATGCCACCCCGCCACCCCCCCTTCTGCCGCCTCCCCGGCCCGCCCGCGGACCCCTCTATCATGTCGACAGCCTCCAGGAGATACTCGTTCCGACGAATGTCCAGCCGCAGGACGTCCGCCAGGCCCTGGGTGTGCAAGTGCCCTTGGAGCCGCCGGTTGAGGTAGGTCCTGTCGGCGGTGTGTGCGGAGTCGGCTGAGGTGGCACGGTAGGTGGCGAGATCCGGGGCGGGCAGCTGGTCGACGATCTTCTCGAGAACGGCGTCTGGCTGTCTGAACAGCTCCGAGGGGTATCCAGCACCATCTGTCAGCGAAACTACACACACACCCCACAGCTGGTATCTGAGTGCGTCCACACTTCTGCCTGCAGAAGGGTACATACCTGTGGCGGCATCCGGTTCGTGGGCAGGCTGCCCGCCAACCTGGATTCACACACACGACAACAGCCAGACAGGCAACACAGACAGACAGACAGACAGACAGTGTGGCTTCATGATGGATCAGATCAGCGTGTGAATGTGTGTACCTGTTGGGAGATTTTCTGTGAACCAGGGGAGAAATGGCGCACATCAGCAACACCAATCGCCCCCTGCCGGCCGCACACACCACACCACACCACACCACGCCATACATCTGTGTGTACGGCACACACACATCATACACACCTACCTGCAGCTGGCTATTGATGTCGTCTACTAGGCCGGCCCTGTAGCTATCCAGCGCGGCGTTGGCCCTAGCGAGAGAGCCGAGAGAGGGTAGGTTGGGGCGCCCACGCTTGAGCACCTGTGTATGTATGGTGGCCAGATCAAGAGACTTGCACAATTAAATGCCATCCATTGTCAGAGCACCCACCCCCCCACCCACCTTCTCCTGAGCGTATGTCCTGGCGGTGTCCAGCCGTGCGATCATCTGGTCTATGGCGAGCAGCGAGGATCGTGTGGGCTGAACGGGCTGCCACACACCCTTCCTTCGCTCCTTGGCACCAGACATCTCATTCCATCATCTGCTGTCTGCTTGACCTTGTCTGCCGGGCGCTTTCTCTCAGACGGACAGTACGTATCACCAATGCATGGGATACAACACACACAGTGTCACTCACAGCCACCTGCCTGCGACGCCAGAAGAAACCAACACAGACACATGCACATGGCAGCCGATGCGTGAGCCCGTGCCTTGCCTTCCCTCCTCGCTGACCTCCTGCTGTTCGAGAGGCGCCCTTTTGAAGAGCCGTGGACCTCCTGCAGGCCCTCTCGTCAGGTCGTCACAGTCGTCACCAGGGAGGAGCGGCGGCTTGTTATGAGTTGAGATAAGAGACTTCGGCAGCTGATGGTGGCGTGAGCATGGCAGCACCTTCGCCTTTGGCTTTTCCCCTAATTTCGCCTCCTCCGCGATCACGGTCGAACACATCCGAGGAAGCCGATGCAGCTTTCTGTGCCTTTCGGACGTCCTCATACGGGTGTTCTGGTGCATCCAAGACGGAAGGAGCCATAGCTTTTAAAGAAAGAGTGGCGTCAGGCGTCGCTCTCGGCTTGTTCTGGCCTGTTTGAGGAGTTGTGCAGGCTGGTATAGCGATGATAGAGGAGGACTTTGAGACGACGCTCAAGGTGATAGTGGTCGGCAATGGCAAAGTGGGCAAGACCTCCATGATCACACGATTCGCAAAGGGCGTCTTCACAGACGACTACAAGAAGACACTCGCTGTGAGCCAAAGGCAGCCACAACCACCACAGATCCGCCGGCTGATGTGCGCGTGTGTGTGTGTGTGTGTGTGTGTGTGTGCTGCGGGCGGTGGTCGTCAGGTAGATTTCCTGGAGAAGCGGACGACGCTCAAGTCGACGGGCGAGGAGATCACCTTCCTGCTGTGGGACACGGCCGGGCAGGAGGAGTACGACGCCGTCACCCGTGCGTATTACAAGGGCGCCGGGGCGGCCATAGTCAGCTTTAGCACCAACGATAGGAACAGCTTCGACGCCGTCGAGAGGTGGCACAAGTGAGTGCGTGAGTGAGGAGGGAGGCACATGGATGGATGGATGGATGGAAGATGCGAAGGAGGGGCGATTCCTCTGTGTTGGTGTATTTGGTGCAGCAAGGTGGCGGAGGAGTGCGGCCCCATTGCAATGGCGCTGGTGCAGAACAAAGTGGACCTGCTCGACCAGGTGGGTCATGTCAGCCAGCAGGGTGGGGAGAGCGACCGGCGCTGAGATGACCTTTGTGTTGTTCTCAGGCTGAGATGAGCGCTGGCGAGGTGGAGGGGTTGGCGAGGAAACTGTCGCTCAAACTATACCGGTACACGCACATGTGCAGCAGCACGTATGGGGGCAAAGCGAGTGACACAGCAGACAGACAAGCTCGATTCTCTCTGTCGTGTGTGTCTGTCTGTCTGTGTGTCTTGTGCTGCATGCCGTGCAGGACGTGTGTCAAGGACAATCTGAACGTGTCGGAGGTGTTTGAGTACCTGGGAGATGAGTTCCTCCGCCGGGGGGGCGAGGCGGCCCTGCAGCAGAAACAAATCACAGACATTAAAGTACTCTTACCCACGACACACACCACACGGCCGGGCGGACAGACACTCTGTCTGTGTTGCGGTTTCTGTGTGATGTGTGCTGTGTGTATGTCCAGGAGTTGGCATCCACGGCCCCTCCAGCGTCGAGCGGGACGTCCAGTGGCGCGTCGCCTCAGGCGGCCGCAGGGGGCGACGCCAACCCATCTTTCACACCGGTCGGTATACATACATTTACAGCCGCGGCTCCACTCAGTTAGTGTATTGATCTTTTCATGCTGCTCATCTCGGGTGAGTGTGTGTTGTGTTGTGTTGTGATGTGTTGTTGTGACGGCAGGGCGGCGTGCCGTCGTCTGCGTCCAGCCCGAGCGCCCCGATATCTCTGCACAAGAAGCCGAAGGTGCAGCGGACGGGCGGCAAGAAATCCCGATTCCCATTCAACTGTAGCGTCGCGTGAGGGACGGACGGAGGGACGGAGGGAGAGAGGGAGGGATGATGACCCAATGCATGCATGGGTTTGATGCGTTCGTTGCTCGGGAGGGTTTTGCTGTCTTGCTGTCAAGTGCATGAGTGAAGGCTGTGTGCGTGTGTGGCTGGCTAGTGAGTGAGTGGTGTGTGTGTGTGTGTGTGAGTGGATGTAGATAAGGGAGGGAGGGAGGAGGTGGGCACACGGCTGGCTGGATGGATGGATGTGTGTGTTATATGTATCGTGTATAGCTGCAGGGGGGAGGGATGATAACCGGTAGGCTGACAGTTGTGACTTCATGAATGGCCTCTTACAAGGCAACTTCATGTCGGTCGCTGCGGGCAGGTAGGTCAGTCAATGTACACCACCGAAATGCACAGCCACACACACACAGCACATTGGACATTGGCAGGTGCGCACCGCACCAGTAGATAGGTCCATCAATCAGCACGAGCGATACCGACACATACCCACACACATCGACACGCTCATAAGTGCCTGTATGCGTCAGATGAGCCGTCCTTGACGGTCCGTATAAACAGGTAAGGCCCAAACACTGCACACACCAAACCACACGACATAGCAGCAAGAGCAGAGCAGAGCAGAGCACCACACGGCATAGATAGCAGCAAGAGCTCAGCAAAGAGCGTCCCGTGCTGCCCCCCTCCTCGCCCACCCACCCACCATATCTGTGTGTGCTGAATATCCTCGACCACGTCAGGACGTTGGTCACACACATCGCCGCGCTGGTCAACAGCTGAACAGGCGGAGGAAAAGTCTGGCCTGTGCGTCTGTCTCTTGTGTGTGTGTGTGTGTGTGTGGTTGTCATGATTACCAACCATGAACTGCGGGTCGTTGTAGTATCTGTCCGTCTGGATGATGTACTCCTGCGCCCGCCACAGCAGCTCCAGCACTGCGAAACCCGTCACGCAACGCCTTACGCCCTTCATCAGCTGCACACACACACACACAACACAGAACAGCACTCACAAAGGAAGGTTCTCTGTCCTGCCTCTCTCATCTCAGTCAAGCTAAGCTCTCACGATTGGCCAGAAGACTTCCTTCCTGATGTGCCCCTTGAAGACCAGCGAGAGAAGGGCCACCAGCGCACAGATCTCCATATTGGTCTCCTGCACCCTCAAAGCCATCTTGGTCTGCAGCGACCGACTCTTCCTTTCTCGCGGCAAAGGCACTGGCAGCGTCAGCACTTCCTCTGTGCCCTTGGGCAGCTCCCAGCTCTTGCTGCCCTCGTCACCCTCCCCTCTCCCGTCGTCCTTTGGCTCGTCCATCTCCTTGTTGCCCTCAGTGAACATCGCGGCGCTAAGAAGCCGGTCCAGACGGAAAGCTTCTTGCTCGGAGGATGGCAATGGGGCTGGTGTGTGTGGGGCGGGGGAGGCGGTCTCTTGCGCCTCTTGCTGCTGTTGCTGCTGCTGATGTTGTGCGTAGTAGTGTCGTTTGACGCTGCGATTGATCAGCCGGATGGCCCTGCGATAAAGGTCGTGCTGCTCGCCAGAGAGAAGCCAGTGGCTAAGTCCCTGCGTACCCACACCCACACCAAGCACAGCACATGGATGACCTGCCTGCCTCTCGCTGTCTCAGTCGCCCTACCATGATGCCGCCCCAGTAGACCACCCTCCCCGGCTGATAGAGGTACTCCATCACCAGGACAGGGGGCGGCTCCGTGGCCGTCGTGGCTCTGCTGCTCGCCTCCGTGCTCTCTGGCATGTCCTCCTTGTCGCCCAGACGCTCGCCGGAAGCCGTGTCGCCACGTTTGCTGCTGCTGCTGCTGCTGCTGGGTGCAGCACTCTGTTGCGAAGGTGGTGATGGCACTGTTTCGGGTTCGTCGTCATAAGTGAGCTTGGCCATGAAGTCGTCGAACTCGCGATGGTAGACCTTGACGCAGTTGGCGGGGCACTGCACAGACAGACAGGCAACAAGCAGTGAGGGGGGAGGGGAGGGGAAGGAAGGAGTCTGTCTATCTGTCTGTCTGTTCTCGTCGCCCCTCGCAAACCTGCAATAGCTTGCAGAGGAGTGTGGCCCTGAGCTCCTCATTGCTGGGCGTCTGTCCCCAAAGCTTTGAGTGCTGGTTGACCAGGGCCTTCAGCCACCAATACGGCACCTCACGGTCCTGCACACGCACGCACAGACACACGCAGCACGCCATGCCATGATGCTTGGATGGATGGATGGATGGATGTGTGAATGCTCATGTGGCTGGCTACCTCTGGCGGCATTTCGGCAATGAGGTCGAGGATGATCCTGGTCTGCGACTCCAGGTGCGAGTACGGCTTGCTCGCGCCACCCAGCGTCTGGTTCCTCACCAGGTCCTTCACGACCGGCCAGAAACACATCAGGCCCCGCCGCACCAGCCCCTCCGTCTCGTCATTGTCATCCCCGCCGAAGTCGCTCGGCTTGACGGCCGAATCAAGACCTATACACGCGGGCACACATGACTGTGGGTGCATGGATCTGCCCTTCATGTATATACCAACACACCGGTCGGTGAGGCCTTGTATGAGAGCAGCCCATCCGCCACCTGCTCCTCTTTTATCCTTAGCAGCTCCCTGACGGCCGCCCGCCGCTGCGTGATGCCCTCGATGACGTCGAGAGCGTTGCTGCGCTCGTGGTCCAGGATAAGGTCATCGGCCACAAGGTTGAGGGCGGTGTCGTGCACAGGGGAGCGGACGATGTGCGGCAGGCAGTAGGGGCCAAGATGGGACACGATGCGGGATGAGAGCACCTGCTGCAGCATACCTGAGGAGCGAGCAACTCATCCCGACCCAGATAGATGATACACTCCTGCCCATTGGATCATCTGCAGTATAGGGCATTAATGCACTCACCGTAGGGCACTTCTTCCTTGTCGAATTTGTGCCAGCAGAAGAACAGGGCCGCCCAGGCCGCTGCAGACGCTGTGGATGTGATGGCGAGGACCACGCCAAAGGGCAGAAAGCCCTCAATGTCCTGGTGCAGATTCCGCGGCTTGGGCCTTGACGCGAGGCCTCGCTCCAGGCTGGCGGCAACATCGTGCACTGGCACCTGGTCCTGCAGCGATGCTGGGCGGACGAACTTGGTCTTCTTGAACACCTTGAAGATATTCAATGGCATCTTCAGCTGCACAGCCTTGCTCGGGGTCGCAGACGCCGGGGAATGCAGATAAAATGCGCAGATCTTTCTCAAAGCTCGCCAAAGTCTGCGAGCTAAGCGGCACGAGGGGAAGGAAGAATGACCAAACCAAACCAAATGAACGGTGTCTGCTGCTCCTGAGCCTTCCCGATTCATCGCCGTGGTGAGTTTTCATCATGAGTGCGCCTCGCTCTCGCCGCAGCGTTGCCAGCGCCAAGGCGCGTCCCATCGTTTTTCCCGACCAGCCGCTGGCCGAGGACGACGACGCGATGGCACATATGGCGTCCATCCTGCCGCAGCTGCAGCAGAGCCAGCCGAAGGCGCGCACCAAGGGCGCGGCGAAGGCCAAGTCTGCCAAGGCCAAGGCCAAGAGAGGGCCTCGGGCGTCGAGGAAGCGGCAGATGGCGGAGATGGAGGGGGAGGATATGATGGATGTGTCGCTGGGAGAGGGCGCTGAGGCTTCTTCTGGGGCAGCGGCGGCTGCAGCTTCTGCAGCAGCGGGGGAAGGGGCCGGTGGAGTTGAGGACGAGGAGGAGGATGACGAGGAGGGCGTCGATGATGAGGACTTGGATTTCTTCCTGGAGGGCGAGGGCGGAGATGTGGAAAGCGAGGTGAGGGCGTCGGGCGGTGGGTCTGTCTGCATGCACGCACTCATGTGTTCTTCATCCTGTGTGTCCTGTGGCATTCATCATCGTGGTCATCAGGAGGAAGATGATAGCATAGCGGATGAGGACTACGACCCGTTTGAGGACAAGCCGTCAGACGAAAGCCTACGATCCTCAGAGTCGGAACTGTACGTATGGACACCACACACACCCAATCGACACACAGACGGCTTGCCCGCAACGTGCTGTCCCTCTGTTTGTTTTGTGTGCGTCTATGTGTCTGTGTGTCAGTGGTGCGCTGGAGGAGTCGTCTGCCTCATCGAGTGAGGTGGATGAGTTCCTCACCGGCGGGCCCGGCGAGCCAGGCGCACCCAAGAAACGAAAGGGCAAACCCAAAGCCAAGGCGGCGGCGGCGGCGGCTGCAGCTGCTGGTGCTGCTGGAGGTAAGCAGAGATTGTGATACGCCGACTGACCAGATGCAGCGTCTCGGTCTGTCTGTCTGTCTGCCTGTGTGTGGTGTTCGCACAGAAGGTGGTGAGGACAAAGCGAAGGCCAAGAGGAGAAAGAAGAAAAAGTACTTCGCCTCGCAGCCCACCAAGATGTCCCCAGAGGTCAGTCAGCGGCCAACTACCCCACCTTACCCCATGCACCCACCCATCACACAGCCATTCCATCCACACACACATGTTCCCATTGATCAGATTGCCAAGATGTACGGCGAGGCCAACGAGTATTTCCTGAACAAGCAGCACCAGCAGGCCATCACGGTGCTCAACGAGATCGTGCGGCGGGCCCCCGGGCTGTCGGACCCCTTCCACACACTGGGCCTCATCTACGAGGAGCTGGGCGACAAGAAGAAGGCCGTCCACTTCTACCTCATCGCCGCCAGCCTGGTGCAGAGGGACGAGGACCAGTGGCTCAACGTCGCAAGGCTCGCACAGGAAATCGGTGGGTGGGTGGGTGTGGTGTGAATGGAAACACGTGCCTGCCTGCATGGAGACAGACAGGCGCGTGTGCGTTCGTTCACGCAGGCGACCTGCAGCAGGCGATTCACTGTTACGGGCGTTGTTTGGTCAACGTGCCCAAGGATGACACCCAGAAGCGCCAGACCGTCACGTGGGAAATGGCCCTTTGCCACCTGGCTAAGGTAGCAGACAGACGGACAGACAGACAGACAGGCATTGGGCGGCTGTATCTGTGTGCAGGGCGGTCGCGAGGACAGCGTCAAGGCTGCCAATCACTTGCAAGCGCTGTTCGACGTGCACAAAGGTAGGTGATCGGCGGCCTCCCCTCCCTATTGGGGCGACTTGGCTCCAAGTCGTGTCTGTCGTCATGTGGTGTGTTATTGCTTGCTTCAGGTGATCCCGATGTCGGTCGTGAGCTGGCCAAGGTGTACCACAAGCTGGACAGGCGGATCGAGGCCATCAAGGTCAGCAAATACGGCACGGCGCACACCACCCACACAGACAGAAAGAGTTTCCTTGCCTGTGCGTGCGGTGCGGTAACCCAGGTGTTGGAGGATGTGCTGGATTCGTCGGCAGAGGTGGACCCCAACACGCTCAACATGCTGTGCGAGCTGTACATCACCCAGAAGGAGTACAGCAAGGCCTTCGACACCCTCACGAGCCTCTTCCAGGACAGGCCGCTCAACACCTTCCCCGCCGACCTAGTCACCAAACTCGGGGTCGCCGCGTGCCACCTGCAGAAGGTAGGTACACATACATACGTATGTCCATGAAGTGTGTTGTGTCCTCATCTCTCTCTTTATTTCTCCTTCTGTATGTATGTTGTGTGATGTGTGTGCGTCAGTATGCCCTTGCGGACGACGTGCTGGAGGTGCTGCAGCACTACCCCGCCAGCACACACGCCGATCTGTATCTGTCCATGGCGGATGCGCTCGCGGACGGCGGCCCCCAGCAGCACCAGCAGGCACTGATGCTCGTGCAGAAGCTCCCCGTCGACAGCCTCCAGCTCTCACTCACCAGAAACGAGATTGAGGTCTGCACTGCACACCTAACCTGATGAGGGCAGGCCGCACACAAATTGGCTGTGTGTCGATGTCTGTCTGCAGGTGTGGTCAAAGCTTGCCTACTGTCACATCAAGCTGGGGCAGTATGCGCAGGCAGCGGAGCTTCTCGAGACTGCTCTGAAGCTGCTCGGCGCCCCCAGCTACGAGAACATGCCGCCCGAGATCGCCGCACCGCTGGCTGACGTGTACCAGCGGCTGGGCAGGAGGGCAGACGCCGACGCCATTTCCTTCTCGCTCAACTTCCGCCAGATCATGGAGGCCAAACAAATCCCAAAGTACGGTTTTACCGAACAAATATATGCCTGATGCCGCTCATTCGGCTTCACTGTGCGTGTTGTGTTGTCCGTTATCAGGGCACTGACCACACAGCAGCGACAGGACCTGCTCCACCGTCTGCAGAGCGAGCTCGAGACCCTCCTCTCCCAGACCTCCCCCGCCCCCCTGCCGACCACCCATCCCCTCCTCCCCCCCATCACCGAGTGCATACAGCACTTCCTGCACCTAGTGCGCGACTCAGAGTTGGACGTCGCGCGCGCCTCGCGGCTGATCGCTCGGCAGGATGAGAGCGCCGCGGTCGGTTTGGATGAGGACGACAGTGACTTGCTTGGCGAGGAGGGGGAGGATGGGCTGTTTGTGATGAAGAGCAAGAAGCGGAAGCGGCGGGGCAGCGGGGCGGGGAGGGGCAAAAGGAGGGCTGCGGGGGGGCAGTGGACTGGCACGGACAAGCTTTTCTCTCACGTCATGATCAGCAAGAGCAAAGGTGGGTTGGGGAACGAACGGATCGGGGGAGGCCTGCAGCCGCACCATGTGTGTGTTCATTGTCTTGTTATCTTGGTTGGCCTTTCAGAGGAGCTGGGTCTCAAGTCTGTCGAGGATTTGGTAGGCTATGAGGGCTATGGCTCCCTCATCTGCAAGGGCGTCGACCTGATGAGGCGGGCAGGTCGGGTGGCGGAGGGCGTCAGGCTCATGGAGGAGATCGTCGCATCACACAGGAAACTCCGCCTGCACTCGGGGGACGCGATCGACAAACCCAAAAAGGCCTTCCTCATCCAGCTGCGGAAATTCTCATTGGGTGGGCCCTGCGAGCAACACACAGGGAGAGAGAGGAGAGAGAGGCATCCATTTTCTTGTGTGATTCAATGTCATGTGCGTCCCACCACAGAGTGTTGTATGTCCGGCGGCCGTGAGCTGCAGACGGTGGCCTTGAAGCGCGTCAAGTGGGTGCTGGTGCGGACCTCGGTGCGGGGCAACAAGGTGGTGGCGCCACCGACCAAAGTGCTCGAGGCCTTCTGCTGGCTGCTCTTCATGCACCCATACACACCGGCCGTCACCACAGCTGTGCACCGCATCCCGCATGTTCGCGACCTGAGGTAGGTAGGTCACGCCAGCCAGCCAGCCAGCCAGGCACCTCCTTTGTGTCCATGTGTCTGTCTTAAGACATGTGTGTGTGTATGTGTTTGTTCTGTCAGGACGTGGATAGTGCGTCGTCTGCACCAGCACCCCAACTCTTACGGGTTCATGATGATCGCCGCCCACTTCTGTCTGATGGCTTCCAACTATCCCCTGGCCGTCAAGGCCTACACAAAGGCCCACCTGCTCAAGACGGAGGATCCCCTCAACTCACTCTGCCTCGCCGTCTGTTACACGCTCCTCGCCACCTCACGGACCACCACGGTGACTGCAGACAGACAGACAGACAGACAGACCTCTGTGTGTGGGGTGCACACACCTGTCCGTCTGTGTCGTCAGGACAAGCTTGAGGTTGTGCAGAAGGCGGAGGTGATGTTGTACAAGTATGTTGAGCTCCGCCATCTGTTCGGCGAGCTGCACCGCTGCATGAAGCTGCTCGAGGACAAGGAGCGGCGAGAGCGGCTGGAGAAGGAGAAGCAAGGGCAGGGGCAAGGGCAAGGACAACCCGCCTCAGAGCCATCATCCTCAGCAGCAGCGGCAGCAGCAGCAGCAGCAGCACCACCAGGCCCACCCCCACCCACCCCCACCTCTGATCCTTGCAGAGACGTCACGATGGACGGAGCGAAGGAGGGAGGTCTGCACGCCTCCCATGTGCTGCCGACTGTCTACGAGGCCGAAATACGCTACAACAAGGGCAGGTGAGCACGAGACGACGTGTGCACACAGATACATACGGGCAGAGATATGGTGTCTGCCCGTCTGGTGTCACTTGCGAATGTATGTATCCTGCAGGTGGTTCCAAGCGCTTTCAGTGTTCAACGAGGCGATGCTCATGTATCGGCAAGTGCTGCAGCTGCTGACCCCCTTGCAGGAGGCAGCACAAGAGGCCCGCAGCAAGGCCCCCCCTGGACAGATGCCCGACCCCCCGTACGCAGAGGACATCATCCAGATCCTCAGGGTCAGAGAGCCAAACACTCGCTGATGAGAGCAACAAAGACTCTCTCTCTCTCTCTTTCTGTCTGTGTTTATGTGGTTTCAGTGCACTGCTTACAACCGCACCATCATCTTCATCAACCAGCGGACTTCCCAGATGCAGGCGCGGGCGCAGAAGAAATACATCGTGTGGAAATGATCCCACAGGGAGGGGGTCAGTCAGTGTGATGTGGATGTACAATGAAAGGGCGCATGGCACCGATGGCAGGTGGGTAGATGGACAGAAACAGATGTAACGAGGGGAGGGAAGGAGAAACAGACATGCGGTCAACAAAGATGCCGAGGCGCCGTCAAAATCGGATGCGTCCAAAAATCGGCCAGGATGATCCTGGCTATTGGCCCCGATCGAGAGTCGCGAAGGGGAGGTGTTGACGAGTTGTAGCCAATAGATGGCGCCGCGACGCATCTGGCGACCGCTTTCCCAGCAGGAAGGTGAAAGACGCTGGAACGATGCGCAACCATGTGCACCTTGCACTTTTCCCCTCCGCATTCCTTCCTGCCGCAGGTGGTGGTCAGAATGACGCCGCTTCCGGTTCAATGGGTGGCGCCACTACTGCCGCTGGCAGCGCGGCTGATAGCGAAGCTGTCAAGGCCGCCTTCACGGTAACCACACGCATATTTCACGTACAGATGCATTGCAGACATGGAAGGTCATTTGTGTGCTTTCGTGGGTGGTTTCCTGCAGGCCATTCGGAAACAGGGGTGGCACGGCATCCCTGTGGTAAGCTTCGGCACAGAAAGATCTGGACAGGTGCAGTCATCCCGTTTCTCTCCATCCATGTGGTGCCCTTGTGTGCAGCCGCGTGAGCTTCAGATTGGTGTGTACGCCTTGGTCAACCCGGTGTGGTCCCTCCCGCCTCCCCTGCCCTCCCCACTCAGCGAAGCCGTCCTGCATCACCACACAGATTTGACCATCGACAGCAGCGACCCAGGCCAACGAACATCCTGGCAGCAGATAGCCCCGCAGACGGCTCATGAGCTCGGGAAGCACCTCATCAACCTGAAGCGGGTCCGGCATCGATTTCCCCGGACGGCTGAGGGGGCGGAGGGGGTTGCTGATGGCTTCCACACGATTGCGCAGGGGTGGTGTCGTGGGACTGTCATCGCACTGGTGGAGGGGCATGTGGTGGGACGTCGAATGGCGCGCGAGAAGGAGGGGCCATCCACTACGATGAGCGAGGGCTCCCTCGAGTCGCTCAGCTTTGAGTCGGTGCCCATTCCCAACATCGGACAGCTGGAGGCCCAGCAGCTGAGCGACACCAACGCCGACCCCCCTCCAGCCGCCCCTTCGCAGTCCATCAATCTCCCGGCCCTCACAGAGGTCACAGGGGTCCAGAACGGCCACTCCGTGTTTGATGGGCGAGGATGGCGCACACCGGCTGTCGAGACGGTGACGGCACCAGATGCGTCCGAGATACAGGACATCAGGCCATTCGTGGCCACGACACGGTCCCTAGCCGACCTGACGGTGACTGCCAGCGACCCATTCGATCCATCGGAGATGGCCGAACTTTTTGGGTACCTGCCGGTGGGGCAGCAGGGGAGTGTGGGCCCTCTGGCGTCTCTGCGGAGGATTCGCGGCTGCATGAAACTCTACGGACTCGACTCGACCGATCTCAGAATTGGCCTCGAGGACCTGCAGGTGAGTGAGACAGAAAGGGGGGAAGGAGACCATGCCATCCACTGATACCGTCGTTCCTTGATTGTGGTCTGCATTCATTCAGAGGGTGCTGGTTCAGCGAGGCTGCTCAAGGTCTCTCGACGCCGGCGACTCGGACGGCTGCCTGTGCATCGTGGTGGACCGCATCGACTGTCACTCGCTCATCCTCAACGAACTCGCCACATTCAGGGCGTTGGCGTCGCTCATCGACGCGACCGTCGTCCCTGGCTCCCTCTGGCGAGCGGGCAAGGTCAAGGTCTTCTGCGCCCCCTCCCCCCTGCCAAGCAGCCGCATGACGTGCCGCTCAACGAACTGCTGGCCTTCACACACTTCGATTTCCGCAACCTGCCCACCTGCAGCCCCCGCCTGGTCAGCTCGCTGCTCGAATCGTACAACATGCGGCTGGACACCTCGCACAGCTACCTCACCTGCCCCAAGATCGACACCCTCCTGCCAGGTGTGAGGCCTACATTCCGGTACGTGTGGAACGTCACTCCGCAGCACCTCGCCGGATCGCAGGGCGGCATCAACCACATCGGCCGGCAGCGGGGCCTGGATGTGCTGATGTTCGAGCGGAGCAGGGGATGCAGCATAGCCATCCAGTGTGCCGAGGGCTGGACACCGCTTGCCAATGCTGTCGCGCCCCCGCCCCCCGAGCTCTGCGCATTCGACAACATTTTCCCAGCGAGGGCCTTCGATGCCGTGGGGGGCCTGACTGTCTTTGGCCGCATCGGGCTGCCCATGGCGGGACAGCTGCTGAGCAGGCTACCGAGCCTCGAGGACCTGCAGCTAGAAGACATGCTGACCACAGACGTGCTCGACCTGCTCAGCCAGCTTCGTGCATGGACCGTACCGACGCACCTGGTGCTCGGCGCCCTGCAGACAGCCGACGGACAGCAGCAGCAGCAGCAGCCTCTGCCTGTCCTCAAGCGGCGTTTACAGAAGGTCGAGGCCCTCACCGCGAGCGGCGACGTCGCCATGCGTTTGGCGGCCTCCTTGACCCAGCAGATGCCCTCGCTGCAGGTACTCCGCATCGCCGGCAGCGAAACAGAGGCGCGGCAGGTCCTCCTGAGAGGGGGCTTTGGTGCGATCAAACGGCTTTCGCTGGGGTTCATGTCTGGACATGGCCCCGAGCTCATCGAGGCCGAGGACCAGAGGGAGGGCATCAGACTGGGCGACCACAGGGACCGGTTGCCACACATCGACACCATAGAGATGCACGTAGATGGTAAGTGGGGGGCGAGCATACGGGGACTGAACGCCGTATGTGTCCATCCGTCCATCTGTGTACCGTCTCAGTACCGTCTGAGGACATTGTCGAGCCAGGCGCCTTCATTCTGTCGAGTATCTGGTCCATCCTCGAGATGCAGTCCATCTCGCAGCTGACGGTGGTCCTGCCTGAGCAACACCATCTGGATGACCTCAACGCGGCTGTGCAGCGCCGCCTCTCAGGCGCGATAGGGCAGGTCCATATCGTGGAGGACCAGCTGCACATCGTCATGATGGCTACTGACATCGCAGCGGTAAGTGTACAAGGATTGGAGGGAAGGGGGAAATGAATGGGTGGATAATTCGTCGCTCTGTTGACCCACCAGTTGTGTGAGAAGGCTTTCGCCCATTCATCAGCCGCCGACGTGCTCGAGGCGCTGGTGGGAGCAGCAGCCCCGCAGCGGCGGCTGGCGATGCTCACCAACCTGGCGGCCACCGTCAACGAGCTCTCCTCCATGGTCAGGCGCTACCTCCCCTCCGTCCCTCCCGGCGTCTCAGCCGAGGCACTCGCTATCGATTTTGCCGCCCGCATGCGCACTGCCTCGCCCATGAGTGTGATCGACCCCCCCTATGCGCCTCGACGTCTCATGGAGTCGCTAGTGGCCGCGATGCGGCGACGCGGCATGCGGATGAAGCCCATGATGCGGCTGCACGGCAATTCGGCCTGCCGCCCGAGCCCATCTGCCATTGCATGCGCCAGCCAGCTCGTGGCCGTGCTGCAGACGACGGGCAAGCAAATCACAGGCATCGAGCTACTGTACAGGTAAGGGAGGCACTGAATGGGACTCCGCGAACCTGCGCATTTGATGGCCGTACATGCAGAGCGACTGAGCACGGCGATCGGTACACCGACATGCTCACCCGTGTGGGCGGTGCGACCTGCCTGCTGTTCCTCGTCCGAAGCAACGGCGACATGCACGGCTGTTTCATCGACGACAGCATCAAGCCGCCCCCGCCCCCGCATGTGGAGACCCCGGCCGGTCCCCGCTTCTTCAACGACTACGAGACGCCCGCCCTCATCTTCAAAGCATCAGGCCACTCCCCCATTCCAGTCGGCGTCGCCCACCCTGCAGTGTGTGACTGTCGCACGGGCGGACAGCCGCTCACGCCGCCACTACAAACTGAGCGTGGGCCAGTCCGTGGGGCGGATGTGGCTGGGGCTGTGGCAGATGGCGGCCTCTACGGGGACGGGGGGTTGCTACGGGGAAGCGGCGTGGGAACTGCTGCAGATTGATCCCCAGGTGTATCATGAGGAGGAGATTGATGCCGATCAGATAGAGGTGTTCAGACTGCTGCAGTGAGTGAGTGAGTGAGTGTAGACAGGGGAGGGCGAGGGAGGGAGGGAGGCGACGTGGTGCCACGTCAAGGATGTCGCGCACAGGGAGGGGGTCACTCAGTGTGGTGTGCATGTACAATGAAGGGGCGTATGAGTGCTTAAGAGACCTGACATATGGATGCGTCTGGTGACTTACTTGGCGGGTGAGGCTCTCTTTTTTCTTGAAGATACGTGTGCATACGAATGCATACGAATGCATTTGCCGTTCGCAATTGCTTATGCAATGAAAGAGAACCAGATCTTGTCATGATCGCTCCAAATCCCCAGCTCGCAGTCTTGCCCCCACGCCCCCAACCTTCCGATGGATACAAGCCGCCCGAGAGCACCGCAACGCACCTTCAGCAAGGCATCACTCACTGGGACGCGGCGAGGAAGCCATTCAGCCCTTCCCTCCATCCCCTCCCTCAAGAAGTTGGCGTCAGCGGACCTGTCTGGCCCTCGGCTGCAAGGACGGGCAACTCCTGACGTCCTCGGAGGAGGAGTCGGCCTGAGGGGAGCGCTGGCCCCTCTGAGAAGACAATGGAGCGCCAGAGGCATGCAGGAAGCCCGGGAGGCCTTGGGTGCCTTGCGCTCCAGCAGCGGACCTCCCGCACGAGAGTTGACCCCTGCCGACATGCCTGCCGACCAGCCGTCGAGAAGGGAGCCGCCACCGGCCGCCCCCGCCGCTTCCAAAGCAGGCCGCCCACCGTTGCCAAGGAATGACAGACCACCTGCCAGTGGAAAGCCAGCGATGCATCAGGTGAAGCGGCAGACGACGATGCAGTACCGAAGACAGAGCGAGGAGAGGAAGCAGAGCGAGGAGCGGGAGGAGAAAATGCCGGTCTTTGCAAACACGGCGGGCCTTCGAGCGGCCATCAAGAAGGGCAGCGGCAGTAGGGATCACTTGGATGCAGCCGCAGCTCCGTCCTCAGCGGACGGCCGGCATGTGGAGGATAGGCCGCGTCCCGCATCCATGCTGCAGCGGGAGAAGACGCGGGACCTGTCTGTTGAGGGCAGGTCTGGAAGTGAGAGGCCTGGGGGCGAGGGCAGGCCGGATGAGAAGAGGGGCTGGGCCAAGACCAAGGCCCTGGTCATGGGTATTGCAAGGGCTTCCAAGGAAACCAGGGCCGCCACCATGGCGGAGCCAAAGCGGATGAGATCCAGGACGGGTATGCTTGAGTCGGTGGTGCGTGAACTGCAGGAGGAACAACGCAGAAGGGTAAGAGAGCCTCGGTGGGGCTGCGTATGTCCTCGCCGACAACACCATGGTATGTGTGTCCATCTGCAGGAGAGTGAGATAGAGCGTCTCTATGCCATGATCGAGCACATCAGGGCGGAGAAAGACGAGCTCGTCAAGAAGGAGAAGATGCGGCGACTGGAGAAGCAAGAAAAAGTAGGCGGACGAGTGGAGCGGCCGAGACATGATCCCTGCTTTTGTCTCGGCTGTTTGCAGGAGGCTTCTCTGGCTGAGGAGTACGACGCGTTGCTGGAGGAGATCAACGAGTTGCGGTCCGAGCTGAATGCCTCGCGGCAGAGCATGCGTGAATACAAGGAGCAAGCTGAAGAGAGCAAGGCCGTGACAAGGCAGCTCGAAAAGACCCAAAACGTATGTCGAAGCGAGGGAGCCACTTCAAGACGAACAAGGAACCAGTCGATCTTTGTCGTGTCTGTCAGGATCTGTACGAGTCTCGCGAGCTCCAGAGGCAATACGAGAACCGCATTAGCGAGCTCCAACGACTGCTGGAGAGACAAAAGGTACACGTATACATGGAGTGTCTGCCGGCTTCACAGAACTGACCGGTTGTCTTGCGTTGCCTGCTTGTCTCAGCGCGAGTCTCAGCACAGGCTGAAGGAGCTGCACGAGCTGCGCGATCTCCACGAGCAGGAGGTTGAAAAAAAGGCCGAAGCCATCGAGGCGACGAAGGCTCAGGCACTGGCAGAGTGCGAAGGACCGTAAGCCGAGGCAAGACATATTGGCACACGATCAAAGTCACTGCCTTGGTCTGTGCAGGTCTGAGCGCGAAGAGGAGCTCGAGGAGGAGCTCGAGGAGCTGCGCAAGGAGCTCGATGCACTCACACAAAAACACGACAAACTTGAGAATGAAAATGTATGATTCTGCACGCCGTAGCCATTTGCCTGGCTCCGTTGCCAAGCATATACATGTCGGTCTGTCTGTCTGTTCCTGTGCAGTTGGAGTTGAAGGCTATTATAGAGGCTCGTTCGAGTTACAAGTTCAAGCGGCGCACCGCTGTCACAATCAGCCCCGCAGCCGTCATGCCAATCGCCCTCACTCCACTACCAGACCAGCGTAAACAAAAGTCGAAGACGACAACATATACGAAGTGGTGTGGGTGTCTCGCGCTTTTCTCGCATCAGAATGGTCTGATGACAAGGAGAGTGACTTGGAATCAAGCGAGCATGAGTCAGCCATTGAAGCCGAGCCGCTGGAGGAAGTCCCTGGCCGCGGCTTCACAAGAAGGTGCACTTTCTTGTGAATGTCATGTCATGCACTGATGGTCGACATGGATTTGCTTCACTTGGTGTGTCCCGTCCCCAGGAAATCCCTTGCGGCCGAGCTGATGGGCCTTGGCGAGCCTCTCTCTGCAGAGGACGAAGAAGACGAAGAGGAAGAGAGCGAAGATGAGGGAGCAAGTCTGAGGCCGAGGAGCCCGATCGTGGTTTGACTCAGATGGAAGGAAGCAGACCAAGAGGGAGATCCATACAGTATGTGTGTGTCTCTCTCTGTCCATCTTGTGTTGTCAGGGGAAGAGGTTTCTGGAGCGGGCGGAGATCGAGGAGATGAAGGTGGAGTCCGACACGGCAGCCATGAAGGCTGAGAAAGAAGAAGAGCCACCATCGGAGCATCCCCTTATCACCAAACGATCTCGCTCGTCTATCCTGCTGCTCAGCGACTACCAGGAGGAAGTCGTGGCAGTGGAGCCCACTGAGGAGGAGATAGAGAAGCTGGAGAAGGTGAAGCAGCTGGCGCGTGAGACAGTGAGCCGTGCCATCGCAACAGCGGTTGCTCGTGAGATGGTGCAAGGGATGCTGTCAGGCGCCCTTGACCAGATAAGTGCACAGGTGCCGCAAGAGGAGCCGGCGTCCACTCTGCCCGAACCTGCGCCGACGACGTCTCACAGGGAGCTGTTGTCCGTCCCACCGGCGCTGCGGAGAAGCCCCTCTGCGCCTCCGCATTCGATGTTCAGGACGCTTCCTCGCATGCAGTCGGGCCCCTTGCATCGGAGGACCTTCTATCGTCCCCTCGGGTGGGTCAGACAGAACCATCAATGACCAGGCCACAGCGAAGACATGTGTCCATGGCTCTGTCTCAGTCCTGAGTTCGCGAGGCGTCCTCATCCTCTTCGTCCGTATGTCACGACAACTTATCATCGGCGGTTCTTCACGCCAGCTCCGAAGCAGATATTCTCTATTCAGCAACTGCAACGACACCCTCTGCCCAAGTCCCGCCCCAGCGACCGATTTCTCCCCTTGGCTGAGCCCTTTGTCCCCCTGGTGGAGAGATGCAGCCCATTTCCGCCCAGCGGGTCTCTAGGCCTCGGCGACCCTCTTGTAGTGAGCCAGAGATCGAGAAGTCCGAGATACCGTGGTCGTTCCGCGTCTCGTTTGGTGGCTCGACGCACCCCCAGCCCGTCTCCCTCCCGACCGGCATCGCCATTCCGCGTGCGCGACTTTGAGGAAGGCCAAAGGCCGCCCGTGAGGGAGATGGAGGCTGCAAAGTCTGTTGTACAGCTTGTGCTACCCCCGCCGCCGCATGGGACCCCTCGGCCTGTGCCGCCTCTCGTAAATCGCAGTCCTATCGCATGGCTTCCCTCTCCGCCCCTCATACCTTCGCCGCCGAGGATTCCCATGATCCCTGACCTTGCTGTCCGCCTGGCCAAGCAGAGAGCGCCTCACAGCGCCCGAATGGCCCGCCCAGCGAGGACAACTGCGCATGGGATCCCTCCGCCTGCGAATGAACAAAGAGGTTTAAGTGAGAGGAGCGCAGTGAGGCGTTTCGACACACGGGTTCCATACTTTCGTCCGCCGCCGCCTCTAATGGTGCCTCCCCGACCATCGCGTTCCTACCCTATGCGTCCTGCTGCAAGGCCCGTGCACGCGAGAGGGCCGAGGATCGTCGGCTGACGACAGGATGACAGGGCGGGATCGGCAAGAGGCGTGCGGTGCTTCCCCGGCAGCCCTTGTGGTAATGCAAGGAGGCGTTGAGCGTATTCATGCGTGTCGGTATTATGTCGGCTGTGACGATTGTTGCTAGGCGGCATGCATGTGTGCGCTTTGCGTGAGGATTTTTGGACATATATGAGTTTGATTGTGATTATTTGGGTGGTTGCCGCAGCTGACAAAGATCGGAACCGTGTATTGATGCGGGCCGGAAACGGCCAAGACGTCGCCGAGCTCGCAATCTCATTCCGACCGCTTCCTTTCCTCCCCGCGAAGATTGCTCCTCTCAAGTGTTCCTCTTGACATTTGCTGACAGCGTCTCAGAAGCATTGCTTAGTGAGCCAACGACCGCCATTTCACGTAAGCGCTCTCCAATTGCATGCATTGCAGTGCAAGAGGCAAGCTGAATCACAGTTTGCCTTCCTCGTGTCAGGCTTTCATGACCACGATGCCGCCCCTTTGCAATGTTGCAAGAGCGTTCGTGTTTCTTGCCGTCTCCTCGGCTACCGTCTTTGCAAAGCAGCCCATCAACGCAACAGGCACCGGCACTGCTGAGCCGACTACCAGTATGATCAACAGCACCAACTGCACCTGTCCGCATCCTCCTCCCACTTCGTGCAACTGTGAGGGCGAGACGGCAGGGCAGGAAGTCCACAACGGGACGGCGGCCATCTCTCTGGGGAATCGCACAGTGGCTGTCACTCGTCCGCCGAGTAACGCGACAGTAGTTGTCGTGCGGGGCAGAAATGCATCTGTGGAGTTCAATCTCACCGCAGTCGATTTGGACACATCACATGTCACGCCATGCATCACGGTCAGCAGAGCACCCGAGTCTGCTGGGCTCGATTGGCTTCGAATCGTGTTCTGTGTGCTGATGTCCGTATGTGCAGTCAACGGATTGTGGAGACGATGAGCGCTGCGTCGGCGAGGGCATTGACAAAGGCTTGGGGGGCGTGTGTGTGTCGACACAGAAGAACTGCTCCCTCTCCCTCAAGCACTTCACCGTTGAGACCCTCTTGCCAGCCCAAGTCTACACGGCATTCCGCCTTGAGGACTGCAGGGGCACACCCATATCATCGGGCGTCGATTTCCGTGTTGAAGAGGTCAGTCAGTCTACACCGCATTTGGGTCATGACCGTTCATCGCAGACATTCCTTCTTTGCTGCGTTGCATATCAGGACGGCCGCTGGGACGGAAATGAGAATGAATGGTACCTTCTGCAGGTGATGAGTGATGTACGCCTTAACGACAAGCGCCCTACTCATGCGTGCCGTATTTCTGACACCAGAATCGCACGTCTCGGTCCTTCGTGTTGTTCCTGGTGGACATGTCCGGCTCTGCGCGGGCCTCGCTCAACGCATCGATACCTACCATAACGCGCATCTCACTGCAGCTGTGCAGGGGCGCAGTGGAGTGCGCCCTCTATGCTTTCGACGGACGTAGGGACCTTCAGATGCTCATACCTTTCTCTCAAGATGACTTCTCTCAAACTCTCGCGGTAAGGCCAGACGCGGCGAGAATGAGAGACCTGTGTCTCTGTGAGCCCGCGTCCCTTGCCTACATGTCATTTGCGCAGAGGGCTATCGTGACTTATCGCTCAGAGGACATATCAACCAATCTCTACGGCAGCATCGGCCAGGCAATCAGAGTCCTTGAGGTTCGCTCTCACACACATCCTTCGAAGGCTGACTGCATTGAGAAGTGCTGGTGTCTCTCCGCCCAGGATAGGATGGACGAGGAGCAACGCCGTCACGAGTCCCTGCTGCAGGCAGGAGCCATGATACTATTCTCAGACGGCAAAGTACGTGAGAGACGCCAGAGGGGGACAGCGCACGCATCCATTGGCCTCTTCCTCGTTGTCGGTTAGGACTTGGCCAAACGCAGGAGTCGGCAGTATGCCCTCCATCGAGTGCAGCAAGCGCGCAGACGCATTTCATTCTTCTCTGTAAGCTGAATACCAATGAAGTGATTGCCCGAGGCGCCTTACGGCACGGAAGCTTGCCTTGTCTCGCAGGTGGCCGTCCCTCCCGCCTACGGCTCTCGCAGCGACCCCGAATTCCTCCAAGAGTTCGGCAGAGGCGGCGCCATCTATCAGCCAAGGGTATGTGTCTATCAGTAGTAAGGCACTGCCAGCTCGGTGGCCACGGCGGCAAAATCTCGTCTGGTTCTTTGCAGGATAACCATCAGCTGCAGACCCATTTCAAGAATCTCTTTCGGAATCTCGATGCCGTCACAAGAAGTTACTACATCATCGGTATGTCCTGACTGCGGCGTGCTGCCCGCCAGCAAACCAAGCTTGCTGACCTCTCTATGTCCATTCCATCAGGTTTTTGCTCTGCTCTACGTAACGATAAGGTTCACACTGTGACGGTCAGGGCCAAGCTCGGCGGTGAGACACGCATTCAGATTTGCTCATACGGCGCACGCCACATCACACATTGGCGGTCTGCTGCCTTCCCTTCCTCCCCTCCATCTTTCAGAGGCCGTTGGGAGTGCATCGGGCACATTCTCATCTGAGGGCTTCACTGGCGGATGCAGAAAGGTATGCTATGCGCTCCTACAGCCAAGAACCTTCAAGCGACGGCATTCATTAGTTAGTTGCATGGTGCTCTCTCTCCTGGTCAGGATCTCTTGGCCAACCTCGTCCCGCCCCATCTGCAGGGGAAGAAGAAGAGACCGCACATCGAAGGCTTCCCTTCGCCCACAACAGGCAAAAAGAAACAGGACAAGAAATGCTGCAAGAAGGAAACCAAGGACAAGAAACGCGGCCGCAAAGGCGTCTCGCAGACTTCCTCAGCGGCGAATGTGACATTCGCGGGAGGTGGCTCTGCCGCCAAATCGGCCGATGAGGAGCCTACTCCGGCCAAGAATGTCGAGACTGGATCGTCCGGTGGGAAGGTGGTTGTGGTGCTGTCGAAGGAAGGACAACCAAAGAGCAAGAGACGGGAGAAGAACAAGAAGGATAAACAACAGCCCACTCAGGGCAGCCCACCAAACGAGGACGCCCAGCCAACACCAACGCCAGAGGGCAACCTTCTCCGAGAGAAAAAGAAGCAACAAGAAGCTTCGGTGCGCGAGAGCATCAAGAAGCCCTCAAATGTTGCTGAAGAGAGCAACCTTCCCGAACCTGTCCGTCTTTCACCTGGGCAGCCCGATCCTGTCTCAGCCAGTGCCCCGACCACCACCAAAGCCCCCGTTATCTCACCAGCAGCAGCACCTCTTGGAGCCCCAGCGACAGTCAGCGATCCAGCTGCCGACGTCCCGGCAGCTGCTGACGAGCAGATCGCGTCTCAGGAACAGCAGAGAGATACAGATCCTGTGACGCAGGAGACGGCACATGAGTTTCAGCATGAGGCGGCAGAGAGCACCGAGGGCAAGACGGAAGCCGATAGCATGGGCCCTGTCGACGACGCCTCCTCTGATGTCAGCTTCGCACCGGCAAAGACAAGAGCGGAAGCTGATGCGGCAGTCACAGACCATGCTGCAGCCAAGGACGACACCAGCACAAATGCCGCCCCTACAACTTCTGCTGCCGGCTCTCTCTCCCATGCTCTCACTCCGTCGCCGTCACCGTCTGCCAGCCAAGTCGATGAAGACAACGACTCTTCTGTCAGTAACGCCAATTCTAAGAACGGCTTCTCGGAAGCGACATTCTCATACCAGATAGACAGGGTCAGTGACGACGACGTGCCTCCACGCAACACGCCAGTGGACGTCGACGGCTCAGAGCTGCCCTCCCTGAGGGGCGGCAAGAAGCCCAGAGACAAGGAGCAAGTGTTCAACAGTGTGGCCATCCCGCTGATCGTGTTGGTTCCCATCTGTTTCTTCATCATATATTGCTGCTTCGACAAGAGCAGCATGTTCTGGCGGGCCGTCCAGGCTCATATGGAGAACGTCGCTGAGGCTCGGAAGAACGCCCCGCCGGGAAGCGACCTCAAGTCGAAGCTGAGGCGGGCCCTGTCTCCCATTTACCTCAAGCCAGTGCCTTCTGTCAAGAGTGTGTCCATGACCCCACGCGTCAGCCTCCACCCACCCCTGCACTCGAGGAGCGCATTCGTGACGCCACTGGAGCGGTCGCCTGTGCAGAGGTCCCCCAACTGGTATAGTGAGGCGGCTAGGCCTGTCAGCAGACGAGACACGCAGGACTATGGGCGAGACATCGAAATGGGCATCGCTCCAGACCATGCAGTGGTGGTGGACTTGTCGCCCGGCCCAGCCGACTGTGACATGGTGGATGAGGCTGTCCATGAGTCAATCTCGCCTGCCCCACAACGTGAGCTGGCACAATAGGATGACCCACCTATCTATGGACAGAGTGAGGGGATTGCTGGCATGGCATGTGCGCTCTCTGATTGATTGTTTGATTGCAGCGTATTTCGACAGGAGCCCCGACCTGGAGCTGATGCGTGAGCTAGCCATGGAGCTCGACCTGTCTGCGATCCGCGGCATCAGTGTGGAAAACTCCCCAAGACAGCAGCAAATGTCGCCAGTCTACTACTTCTAGCTGACTGAGGGCGGGAGGGACGGCGGTGCACTTGTGATGTCAACGTGTCTATCGATGAGAGGCGGGCCAGCATACACACACACACAGATGCATTTTGGAGCTTGCTAACACTTACTCTCGCGCTTTGCTGCTGCTTGTTACCTACCTGCGTGCAATGGGTGAATCGACGGACGAAGAGACAGACGGAGGATTGCATAGCATACATCAGTTGGGTGTGGGGGAAATGCATTGCACGCCATGTACGTGTGACTTTAATATCCTCCGCATGATGCCATGCGCCACAATTCAAACACGAAGAGAGAGAATCGTAGTCATTTTCTTGGGTTATGTAACACAACATCGACTGAGATACAAAACCGGTCTTTCAACAAAATGTGCCCTCGTTCTTTCAGCCTTCCTCGCCCGGCCAGTTGAGGAAGTGGTTGCAGGCCACTGGTGAGACAGGGCGGTCATCAATGTGTCACTAATAACGACCCAGTCTCATCACCAACCACCCAGCACCCCGTCAGCCAGCATCAGGCAAGGCAAAGCAAGGCAAGGCTAATCCAAGGAAAACATACACACATCACTGAGGACACAGACAGTACACCTGCCATTCTCCCTTCCTTCCTCCCCACAAAAAAAAAAAAGTCACCATCAGAGGGGACAAGGCATCCATCATCCATTGGGTCACGCCCCTCGGTCGAAAAGTGTGAGTCCACACCGACCGACGAAACCACACAGCACCACACACAACACGTGTGCCTGCCTATCTTGGACGGAAACAGCCGAGGAGGTTGCCCTCATCATCAAAGCACATGACTGGATCTTCACTCACGGGCGGCAGGCGTCCTTCAGAAGGATCACACATCACCGGATCTTCAGAGGGCGACGGCGATCGGGGTGCAAGAGGCCTGCATGAAACGAGAGAGTAGCGCAGTACTGATGTGATCGAGTGTGTGTGTGTGTGTTTGTGTGTCGCTCACGTGTCAGTGGCGCTTGTCATGTCATGCCTGCATGCCATTGCGCGGCGACCAAGAGGCGGTTCTGGTTCTGCGTCCGGTTCTGAACAAATCCATCCGACAGCCACCTTAGCCATAGAGTGGATTGACTATCACTCACTCACCGTTCAGCGCGTCATTGACTCGCGGCATGATATATATTCCTTTTACGAGCCTATCACCAGCAGGATGACAGCAACACTGTCAGAATGGCAGCCACATCCTCAGACGTACCCCCCATGATTGAGTTGGTGATTTCTCGGCTGTTTCTCCTCCTTTTCGGATGAGCGAGCGTGTATCGGACTACACCCAACCCCCTCCACCTACCCTCATCCCGCGAGACGGCGGCGGGCCCCCCTGTTGCGCATGCAACGAGAAAGGGACGTCTGCGCTGTCCACATGCAGCCGACGATGTGACTGCCGGAATCACAAGCGC